TGAGCAAAATTTGATCAGGTCCCAGCCCAGTGGCACTCCCAACACCTTTCCTCTTTCCATACTGGGAACCAGAGACCCTGACATTAATCAGCCTTGAACACTGAAACCTGGAATCACCTCCTTTTCTGACTTCACTCCAGCCCCCAGTGAACTAGAATTGCCAGCGTGCCAATCCTTCATACAGATACACACACACACACACACACACACCTACCTTTAGCTGTTGCTGCAATCATTTATTATTATTATTATTATTATTATTATTATTATTATTTTAAAGGCAAATCCTTTGGAGTCAATAATTTGGATGAAATTCTGACTCACCACTTGTGAGCTGTGACTCTCTCCTCTCCATGCCTCAGTTTCCTGTTGGGAACTGAGTAACATGAGTCAACAACTCCAGTCTGGAGAGTTGTGAGCATTAAATGGAACTTTGTGTATCCACCTCACTGGCCTCTTTTCTGTTCTTCAAGCAAGGCAGGCCTGTTCCTGCCTCAGGGTCTTTGCACTTGCTATTCCCTCTGCCCAGAATGCTTTTCCCCCAGATAACCACATAGTCCCTGATATCACTTTTATTCCAGTTTCTGATAAATGTCACTTCCTCAGAGAAACTTTCCAGGACCACCTGATTTAAAACTCCCCTGCCCATCCCCTGTCCCCCTACTTCTCCATCAGCTTACCTGCCTGTATTTCCTCTCTCACATTCATCTCTACTGGGGACAATAGTCTATTGCTTGTTATCTGCTCCTCCAACAGAGTTTCAGCTCCACGAAGTAGAAATCTAACAGCTTTGCCCATTGCTGTATTCCCAGAGCTCAAGACATATTTCTTAAATTACATTGAATTAAAAGTGATGGACACATCTTTAAGTTTGAGATCGTTTCAAAATAAAAATATACATACTTTAACAATATGTACTTTAAAAAGACTGGCACTCAGTAGACCCGCAGGTAATCAGAACACAGTTTCCCTTTCTTTAGTACTGGCACCCCTCCCACGACAGGAGGCTCACTCCTCCTCAGGGAGTCTGCCTTGCTCTGACTTGGAGGAAGCTCTGTTCCTACAGGACCTACTCCTTATGACACCCACACCCCTCTACTGGGTCCCAGCCTCAGACCCATCTGCTTTCCTGGCCTGAAATAGCCCTGCAGTGACTTGGGGATAGCAACTGGAGTCCGCGAGGCTGCCTTTCTCCATGGTGAGTCTCCCCAGTTCCTCCTAGGATGGAGTCTCCAACCTTCTCCCCACCCTAGCCACCCCTTTGTACCCATCCCAGGCTGCCCCTGACCCTCTACCAAGACAGGGCCTAGAGCTGAACACAAAGTGGGATCAGAAGATCTGAATAGAAGCACCATCCCTTTCCTGGGGGCACATGAGACTTCCTGGGCACTTTCTTCTGATCACACAAAGCTTGGGATCCACCCACTGCTGACACAGTCAGGTCTCCCCAGCCTGACTTCCTTCTCTTTAAGGTAGAATTATTCACTCTAGTTTCCAGGGTTGGACATCTTCTTATTTCTAATTGAGGCAACAGCTCTGGATCTGTTCCCCTCTCAGCTAAGTGTATCAGGAAATGTGAGACCTGTTCCTTTTGTGGCTCCTTCAAAGCTTTGGTGCCAACACTGAGGACACAATGCTGAGGACAGAGCGCTGTGGCCAAGTTGTAGACACTTCACCCAGTCTCACAGACAAACGTACATAAGCGTGCTCACACAAACACCTTCATATAACATCCTGAGCTAGGTGATGGAGATCAGCAGTGAGTAAAACAGAGCTCCTGTTTTTGAGGAGTTTACTGTGTCCTGGGGCTGCAGACTGTAATTAAACTGTCCTCCACTTTTCTGTGCCACACATACATAGACAGAAATATGTGCATAGTGGCCACACATGTGATTCCTGGGCTAGAGTTCTCCTGACTATGTAAGGTCACTTAGAAAATTATATGAGAGGGTCTCAGTCCTCAGAACATCTGCCAGGGGTTCTTGCATGTGTCCATAGTCTTGTCTGTCCACAGCAGCCCTGTGTACCTGTGAACTTCCTCTTCTGTTGGCCCCCTGCTAACAAAACTGCTCAAAGGATGCCCACCGCCGCCTCAGCTGGCAGTGCCCACCACTAGAGCATCATGCCTGGAATCTGCCCTGACTCTGAAGGCTGCCCACCCTTGGGGCCCAGTGTGAACACCACAGGGACAGGCAGGAGTCTCCCCTCTAAACTATCTCCCAACTCCTGAGCAGGTCCAGCTCCTGTCTCCTGTCTCCTGCTCCAGCACTCACTTCTTCCCAACAGTGGGCCTTACTTTGACTGCCTGGGATCACCACACATCCCCCAGCACCCAATACTCACACACCATACCCACACACATATCACAGCCCCACTAACCACATCACACACCACACTCCCACACACATCACACACAATACACCTATACACATCCCACACACACACCACACCACATCATGTATACCACCCCCCACACACACACCACACATACTTCACACTCACACCATACTACATATACCACACACACACACCACATCACATACACCACACACTCACACACACCACATCACATACACCACACACTCACACACACCACATCACATACACCACACACTCACACACACCATATCACATCAAACACAACACACCACACTCACACAACCATATCACACACCCCACATACTCACACACACCACACAGCACACAGCACACACAACACAGTCCACATACCTACACACCCTCACACAACCAGAAACATTCATTGTTCCAACAAATATGTGCCCTGCCCTTGTGTGCCAGTCATTGATCTATATAGATTCTGGGGACACAGTGAGAGACGAAGCAGGTGCAGGCCCTGCTCCCTTGGACCTCAGTGTGGTTGAGATTGAACCCATTTCTCAAATAGTCACACAGATGACTAGATAAGGGCCATGAAGAAACAGGTGTGGGGGCAATGAGAAAGCCGAGCAGGTGGGTGGGAAGCTGATTCAGAATCGGGGTGTCAGGTAAGGGCTCCTTGGAGAACTTATGTTTGAGCAAAGGCTTGAAGATGAGTGGGTGTTGACTAGGGAGAGCGGTATGCGTGAAGGCCCTGAGGCTGTCAGGCATTTGATGCAGTGGAGGAACAGAGGGGTGGACAATATGGCTGCAGCTCAGAGAGTGAGGGTTGGGGGGAGGTAAGACTAGGAAGGTGGGCAGGGCCAGGTCACCAGGGTCTCATGGTAAGAATGAGGCCTGAGGTCTTTATGCTTAGAGGAGAGGGAAGAGCCACTGAAGGTTTAAAGCAAGGCAGGTAACATGATGCAATGTAGGCTTTGGCACCACAACCACGTGAAGAATCACGGCGGGGGTCAGAAGTTAGAAGTTGGGGCCAAAGCCCTGTGACAGGATGATACAGCCACACAGGAATCAATGGTGGGTGTGGAGGCACGGGGTTGGATTGAGATGGATGGATGGTCATGGTATTTATCAATACAGATGACAGGCGAGAGATCATAAATCACCTGCAGAACCACCCCTGCGCTCCCCGCTAACACAGCCTGGATTTGAGAGGCAGTACCCACAGGCCCAGGGGCACAGACTGCTCTGCATGTCCACTCGTGCTGAGTCAGCGCCACGCAGGTTTGCTAAGACACCCGCCAACCCCCTAAGCTGGGCCAGTTGTTTCCATGAACTCACTTGTCATGTTTATTAACCATCAGCCTGAGCCTTCGGCCAGACGGTGGGAGCAGGGCCTGGGTGGACATGCCTACTTGTTGTCCACCCGTTTGAGCTGCTCCTTGCCATTAATGATCACCGACTTAAGCTGCCCATTCTCTTCCACCTCCACGCGCTCCTGCCCGTTCTCCACGATGCGCTTGGTGGTGACCTTGTGTCCATTGACCATCTCGGTGGATGACATAACCGACTTGAACCCCGAGCTGCCAGAGCCAGAGCCCCCGAGGGAGGTAGACGAGAAGGCGGTGCGGCTGGCGCCCCCACAACGACCCAGCGTGTCAAAGGCCGAGAAAGCCTCCATGAAGGCCGGGAACTCACCAAAGCCAGCCTGGAAGGCGCCCCTCGAGCCGTGGCCCCAGCCAGCATGGTCATTGTTGAAAGGGGTGTCCCACAAGTCAAAGGAGAAAGGATCCAGGCCACCAAAAAACTCGCGGAAGATGTCCTCGGGGTTCCGGAAGGTGTAGCCGGTGTCGAAGGGGCTGTTGTAGGGGGTGCTGGCCCCACCACCAGCCCGCCAGCTGTCACAGCCAGCCCGGTCATACACAGAGCGCTTCTTGGAGTCGGACAGGACCTCATAGGCCTCTGACACCTGCTTGAACTTCTTCTCAGCTTCCTCCTTGTTGTCGGGGTTCTTGTCGGGGTGCCAGCGCAAGGCCAGTTTGCGGTAGGCCTTCTTGATGTCTTCCGGGGAGGCGCTTGACTGTACTCCCAGCACTTTGTAGTAGTTAGCCATGCCCAGGGGGGAGTAGAGCCGGAGGCAGATAAGAAGGTGAAGTGGGCACCGGGGCCCAGGTGATCAGGGTGGGTGCGGAGGAGGCAGCAGCTGGTGTAGGTCCCTCAGCAAAGACCTTGCTGGATGCTGCTGGTTCCGGGCGTGGCTCTGCCCGGTGAGTTTACCTTTTCATAGTACCAGTTCTCAGGGACGGGTGGGCACCTCCCCTGAGAGGGGTGGGGGGAGGGGAGGGATACTGCCACTGTGCAGCCAGGCAGGGGCAGGCCTGCCTGCAGAGCTGAGGCCAGGCCCTTTATGACGTCAGACCCTGGGCGTGGCAAATCCACACCCAACTCTAGACTGGGCAACCCCCAGCACATTGGCCTGCCCCTGTGAGCAAGGCCAGCCACCACAGCAGGCTGAGGGGCAGAGTTGGGTCACGGTGGGGCTGTTGGCTGAGCCCTGGGATCAGCCATGGGATCTGGGTCCAGGTGGGCAACGAAGGTTAGCAACGGTGGTCAAGGGAGGAGAGTGAGGGTTTCCTGGGATATGTCCACTTAGCCCAATGACTGGGTTGCCGGTATGGAGTAAGGCGTCTCAAAGTGGGGGATCAGGCAGGATGGGGGCAGGAGTTCATTATTCTTGTGCCCCGTTATCCCATCAGATTCTCAGAGGTAAGCCCCACAAAGTCAGGGATGTTTGTCAGCATTTAGGATAGTGCCTGGCAATCAGTTCAACTTGTTGAATGAATTAAGTTCAGAGACATGCAGCACTGTACTTAAGGTCACAGAGCAAGTCAGTGAGAGCGAGAGAGATGCAAATCCAGGGCTGTCTGAGGCTGTGGTGGACAACAAATTAAAAAGAAGCATTCCATTCAATTGTGGAAAGAAAAATAAGGATTNGAGGGCCCAGTGTAATCAATCGCAAGGGCCTTCATAAGAGGGAAGCAGGAGGGTCACAGTTAGAGAGACATTTGGAGACGTTACTCTGCTGGCTCTGAAGATGGAGGATGGGGCCACAAACCAAGAGCTGCAGGCAATCTCTAGAGGTAGAGACAAATTCTCCCCCAGAGTCTCCAGAAGGAATGCAGCCCTGTCAACACCAAGATACTAGACTAGTGAGACCCATTTTCTAATTCTGGCCTCAGAACTGTAAGAGAATAAATATGTGTTGTTTTAAGTCACTAAGTTTGTGGTGATTTATTATAGCGGTAATAGGTAACAAATATAGGCTCCTTTCCTGAGAATTCCTAAAGAAAGCGAAGGCCCTAGATTGCAAAAGAAAAGACATTCTAGATAGAGGTGGGACGCAGTGTGAGCATGAGCAAAGGCCAGAGGGAGCCCGGAAGAGTGGCCTGCAGGGCAGCGCAAGCAAGCCCGCTGCCCCTGCCCTCATCCTAATCACTCGGACACTGAAGAAAGAAAGAGGCACATGTGCATGGGAAGGCATTGCCTATGTACCAGTACTCTACACTTCCCCTGGCACTGGTATGAGGTCACCATGTAGTGGGTAGAAATGCCTTATTTGGCAGATAAGGAAACTGAGACTTGGAGGGGTGAGGTGACTTGCCCAAGGCTGGACCCCCATCCATCTTACTCCAAACCCCATCCTTCCTATGAGCCTCCTGTGCATCTCACCTAAGGCTGGAGATCTGTGCACTCTGTCCCCTCAGAACCTCCCAAAGGAGGCATCCCCACACTGTCCACTAAGTTCTGACAGGCCTGGTGACAGTAATAGCCCAACTGAAATGGAGCTGAGGCTCCCACTCCCACCAGGCCCCCAGGCCCCTGGGCATCTATCTCTAGGAGAGAAGACCCGGTATGAGGCAGCAGGAGGCTAACCAGAGACCTGGGATCTGGCCACACCCCTCGACTTCCTGTCTGGTAAGCCCAAG